TAATAACAAGGTCCTGAAAAAAATTGCTGGATGTTTGCCCAGTAGCCGTGTTTGTCATCGTGGGGGTTTTGGATGTGTTTAATGGACTTGAGCTGAAGGCAGAAAGTTAAAATGATATCTAGAAAAAGAGAAGGAGCGAGCGACAGCTGCAGGGAGCTGGTGGGAAATGTGTGTTCAAGGAAAAGAGCTTGAACTGGGAGAAAGTGGTAAGGATGTGGCCAGGTTCCTTTGCAGTCCTTTCTCCACTCTTCTCAGCACCTTTGAGGTGTGTGGGTATTTCTCACTGCATTTTCCCCACCAGTGGTGCTGGCTGAAGAGGAGGTGGCTTGTCCTGAAAGCAGGTTTTGTGCCAGAGTAGATTCAGCCTGGTGCTGGGCAGATTGGTGTGAGCTTGGGAGACATTTTTGGAGACAAAAAACAGCTGTATCCTGATTGAGGGCAAGGAGCATTGACCTCCTGTGATTTGTTCTTGGGATGGGTTGGAGGCTGAATGGTGGCTTTGCTTTTTTGTCTTTTAAAGTTCAAAATTCAGCCTGTGAGAGACAAACTTACCAAAGCAGCATGTGGCGATTTCTGCTTGGTTCCCATGTTATGAACAGGAAAGTTCAAAATTCCCAGTTGTCTCACTCCCTTTGAAAGTTCAGCTCACGTAGATGTTGACCAAAATGTCAGAGGGGTTGTTTTTAAACAGGAGTAATAACAGTTGGGGGAGACTGACTCACTGGATGGAAGTCTCTTGTTTTTTCGAGCCCAAGGAAAAAATAAGTAATTTTTAGTTGTACTCTATGGCATTCCCTCATTAGCTTACCCCAGATTTTCATCAGTGAGATCAGGATTTGGACTGTGCACTTCCATGGTCATCAGCTACGTGACACACCATGTCAATAAACATGGTGGGACTGTTTTCTAGAATAATATTCATCAGTTTAGAGATTCCCTTTGCTAAAATACAGCCGGGATTGACATCCAGCATAACCAGCAACCCCAGCACTAGATCATACCCATTTGCCCAGGACTGATACTCCATCCGATGTAGTCAAGGGGCACGTTCACGATATTGAACAAGTGTTATTTGTCCTGTCCCAGGCAGTGAGAGTCCCAGACATGCACTCTTTCCATGTTTACACCAGCCAAACCTCATCTCCAAGTTACATGACTCACTTTACATCCCACCACTCGCAAAAGTCTCCCCTCCTTCGCCTGCTTGATCACGTTTCTCTGAGTGGCTTTGCCTTTGGGAGTTTGGGGTTGAACTGGGGGGTGTTCTGGGGGTTGTAAATGAGGTATGTATGTGTGTACGTGCAGATCTCTATCTACCACATGTCCAAGAACAGGAAACCTCTTGCTTGTGTTTTTTGCCTTTCCCTTGTCCTTTTTTGCTATTGCTTATCCCAGGAAGCCTGCTCATTGCCAAAACATAAGAATACTTTTTTAACACTTTGTCTGATGTTTTTGCTTCACCTGAATGAGCCAGAACTGCAAATGCCAATATCCCGGTGAAAAAAGAAAGGCTTCTTGGGTTTGTTTCATCCAGCCATTTCCAAAAGGAAATAAACAGGCTAAATACATTCATAAAAATGCATGAAATGCACTGTGGGGATTGTTGAATGACAGTAACAGAGGGGCAGAAGTGTCAGGTTTTATACATGCTGGTGTCGGCAGACTCTCAAAAATTTTCCGAGTGGTGTTTGAAACTGTTAGGACCCACTAAACACTGACTTTTTGCTAGTGCATATTTAGATTTTCTCCTTCAAATGCCTTTTTTTTTTTTTTTGGTAAAAACAGATAGGAAAATGTTGGCCTGATTAAGAACAAGAATCAAAAAAAGAAAGAATGTTCCTTACTAATAAAATGAACTCAACTTTATCACTAGAAAAGATTGTGGACACAGTTACTTAGTTTTGGGGTGAAAATATCTTAAATAGCTCATTTCCTACACATGTTAATATGACTTTCACTTAAACTGACAGCTAATTCCAAAGTCAGACTTCCCACCTGAGAATATTTTTATTGGTTTCTCTTGCAAGAAACTCCTAAGAATGAAAGTTAAAAAAAACAAGCCCTGTGTATTGCTACATTGGACAGCATTTTGTTTATCGGTAGACTGACTTCTACCCCTTGTGTTTTAAATGATTTTTTCACCTTTGCTTGTGCTGGTCTTTAAGCATAAAAGCACCTAAAGCTACAGATGTTCCCACAGCATCCAGGCAGGGGTCTGAAATTACTCCGAATTCATAATTTGGGATCTGCTATGAATTCAGTGTTTTCTCTTCTTGCTAGCGCTGCATGTGGCCCTAAGCCTCCGGGGCACCTGGGAAGATCCCAGCTGATGTGCCAGTACTGAGAGTGGCAGAACAAGGACTTAATGCCCTACAAGATATTTAGGCTGGTTCAAATTTTTCTTATTCTGCCTGCAAATATTCACCCCAGAGTAGCAGCTGGTAAATAAGACAGAATTGAGGGGTTTCAGCAGAGAAATAAAGCAGGAGCCACCAGTTTATTGACCACTCTGAAAAAGAGGAAGGCTTTCTGCACAGGAGACCCAGCCAGGAGGTCCTCAGTGGCCAGCGCAGTGGCTGAGGAAGGCACACACACATCTGGTTTACTTCGACTACAATGTCCAAGATGTCCCATGCCTGATTGCTGCTTGTTGCCTGAGGTTGCATTTCTCCCTCGGTTTTGGCAAGGGCTGGAGAAGAGGTATCTAACCCCCATCCGCCGGCCAGCTGCAAGGCAGAGTCCTGCGGACCGTCCTGCAGCAGTGCTGGTGTTTCTTGCTTTGCTTTTCCTGGAAATGGTGCAGCCCAGTTCAGCCACACAGCCAGGTATTTGGGAGGGTTTACGGTGGATTTTGTACAAGCTGAAGAAACAGAACTGAAGTAAAGAACTAAATAGGAAGTTGCTAAAATACTGCTAAATTAAAGAGAAAATAACTGCCTTATTCTTTCCTATATTTACATAAAGGATAACTTCTAATACCTTCCCTTCTCACATCTCCTCCCAAGACCTTTTTTGTGGGAATGTACTTATTTCCATCTCTTCCTCCACAAACTCCAAAGTAGGTGCTTTTCATTCGATCTTTTCAATCTTGATATAATTTATTTCCACGTTTCACTCAGCCTGCTCACGTGTACGCTAGACTCTAGCACTCATATTCCCAAATGCCCTGGCTACTCAAGACAGTCACAGCTGTGGTTTTTTTCACGCTTTTTTTTTTTCTTTCACCCTCCGGTTTTGTTTTCTAGTGCCTTTCTTGTTCCCTGGGGAGGTGGCAGCCAGTGTAGCCCAGCACCAAAGCTGGTTCCCAGCATCTGAGGGAGATGACAAGCCCTTTTTGTGATAGTGTCTTCAGGGGATGAAATGTGCTAACGCAATGCAAATCACCCTTATGAAACAGCCAAATGTCTTGGGACCCTGTCCTAAAAATATTCCACAAATATGGCTCTGGTGCATTTCTTTCATTTCCTCTAGTCAGAGGCCAAATCATCTGAAAATATATCCGTTTTCTAGCTGTCCTGTGTTATGACACAGCTGGAGTTGGTTAAAATCTAGAGGGCAGTATCTGGCTTAAGCTGATGGGTCTTTGTGAGGCTTTGATTTATTATTCTAGAACAGCCTGTCCCCTCTTCCACCCTGTAGATAGTTTTGTTTTGTTTTAACGAGAAAACCAGAAAAAGACTGAAATAGCTTTGCTTTTGTGCTCTCCATGTGTAATGCAAAGTAGAGGTCTAGGCATGCAAATTCCCAGATTTCTCCAAATCAAAGCGGTTCCCCCCCCCATTTATCGCTCTGCAGGCGGGGATGGGTGGCAGGTCATTTCAGGGGAGGCTTTGGAGAAACTTTGTCTTCCTGAGCTTTGTAGGACCCAGAAAGACAGCCGATGAAAGTGGTATTTGTCTTTCTCTAAGCCAAATTTGTATTCTCACATTTTAACCAGGGAGCCAGGTAGTTAAAAGACTACATTTAAAGCCTGGATGGTTTTGGTAATATAAGGAAACCTAACCACAGTAGTGGTTCAGGCACTTTGGTGTGGCACACTGAGCCACTTCAGAGGGTGGAAAGGAAAAAAAATAATTAAGCTAATTGTCTTGCTATTCAGTTCTTCTTTTCAAGCGTAAACTTCTTGTGGCTTTCTGCCTTGCACAGTACAAGTGCATCCCACAGACAGGAAAGGGTGTTGGGATCTTTTGCAGAAGATCCTTCCCATCAGTACCCAAATTGCACCGTAGCTGCATCTTTTGGCTCTGAGTCTTGCAACAAAGGTTTCTAGCTTGGAGCCAGTTTTTCTCTCCATGAGGGTGGCAATGTGATTCACAGGATAAAGGAAAGCCACGGGGGCAATTTTTTTGTAAATGTGTGTGCTGAAATTGTGGTAGACAAGAGTTAAAAGATGATTTAACTTTACCCTTAGTTATTCTAAACTGACATTGAAGAAAGAGCCCTGGAGAGGGAGATTTTAATGGAAACCATAATAATAAACTTTGCTGTAAAGTGGAGGAAGCAGGTCTCTTTAGACTGTGGCTCTGGTTCAAGTCAGAGATTACTTTCTAATTCCTGAATCCGTGCCCCCGGTGAAATGTCTGCTGGATGCCGGTTCCCTCTCCTGCAGCAGCTCTGGATGAACTGAAACAAGCCCTGGCTGCCTCAGGAGACGCGAGTGGGTATGTGGCTGGTTGTACCTCAGCCTTATGGGGCAAGGAAGAGAAAATCTCTGGTTTTAAGCCATCCTGGCACCTGCCTCAAAGTCCTCTGAGGTCAGCCGGGGTCCCTGCATCAGACCTTCGTAGTAAGCAGCCGTTGTTTCCAGACAAAGCAAAAAAATTTGATTTTCTTTGGCTTTGAGGATTTGTTGTGTTTTTTTAAAGGAGGAAGGGAACCTCAAAGGACATTTCTTTGTTTTCCCCTGAAGACTGTACTCTTGGCTGCAGACCTTCTCTCTTGTACTCAAGCCCTTAAGTGCATTTTCTCTCTTTCCCCCTGCCTCCCCTTTTTGCTGACAGAGGAGACTGGCTGCATGTTGCCCTCTGCTACCCCAGGGCAGCCGTTTTCCAGGTGATGGCGGATATCTACCAGCGACGGACAGGGACGGTGCACAGTGTAAAGCACTACCTCGCCGCTCCTTCCCGGGCCAGCGCTCTCAACGGGACCGGCGAGCGGCTCTTCTACTTCGACAGAGCATCGGGGTGAGCCCTGCATTGCCCCTGAATGAGCAGCAAACCCTTGGGGTCTTTCTCTTACCAACCCCAGCACCTCCTTTCCCTTTCTCATAGTTAAAATTCAGGCCCATCCATCTTGCGTGGTCTTTTCACTGATTTCAGGTCAAAATGGATTTATAGCTGGAGTACCTGGGGTAGGTCTATATCTGTATCACCGAGCAATGATTTGCATCGCTCTTCAGAAAATGGCCGATTTCTTGGCTGGACGTAGCTCCTTTGAGGCATCCCTGCTGCTCAGATTGCTGCAGGTGTGGGTGTGGTGTAAATATTTGTTAAAATCCATTGCACCCCAAAGGGCCATGACAGTGAGCTCCAACACTGAGATAGTTTGGGAAGTTTCAACTTCTTCATATTCCCATGAAGAGAGATTTCTAAAATCATCACAGTCTAAAAATCAGATTTTGTGAAAAAAGGAGAATGCCATAGTACATCTGTTATTTTGAAGGCATGAATAGAGTCCTAGAGATCTTGCACTATCTTTGTAAGACTCTAGGACACCTTTGGTTAAAAAAACATATTACGAAACCGTGTTTCTCAGTCAGCTAAAATAGGGAGGAAAAAAGTGTTTTGTGGTCTAACCATTGGTCCCATGATGCTTCACCTGACTAAGTAGCTACTTCAGGAATCAATCCACAAATGCCAGATTTGAAAACAAGATGAGATATGTTTATTCATTTAACCATAACACATGAGCAATCGAATCCCGGAATGCCTTCCCTGCTAACCGGGCTCCTTGCTGATGGCCAGGTCTCTCTCAACATAGGAATTGTGAAATAACAATTTGCAAATTAATCCTTCTTTTCTTTTTTTTGGAAAACAAAAAAAAGTTGCCCAAATTCTGTAAACAGGTTGTTTACTACTGAATAGCGGGGAAAATGGTTACACGTGTGGGTCTGTGGGGGAAAAGCCATTAGCTGCCAGCAGCCATCAGGACCTGGTACATGCAGCTTGATGGGTCTAACCTAACTTAATTCTGGCAGTATCAGCCTTTTGGTTCTCTGTTTAATTCAGCAGTGATTTCTTTTTAGCCTTTCAGAGTACAGAAGTTATGGGATTGGCTTTTTTCTCTTCCTGTTGTTGTTTTTTAGACTTTATTTCATAATGAGTGGGATGTTTCCCCTTCTTTTTTTAACCCCACATGCTGGTTCCTTGGAAAGGAACCAAGCTTACTCATTCCTTCTTCCAGACAAATAGAAACAAATATTTAGTTTTAAAAGAAATAGAATGAAAAATCCCTTTAAATCTCATGCATCTTTTTGATCCTGGAGCTGAACTGAGCTGTTTATATAATTTCCTCAGCCTGAATTGCAGAATGGACACGATTGAAAACATACTTAGAATAGCTAGAAAGAAAAAATTAACTCCAAAGGCCAGAAGACCTGGCTGCCTTCGAGCTTTTGTCATGCATGCCTAGGGGTAAGCTCTGCCTGCGGGCCAAGACAGTGCAATGCAGAGAGCTGGAGGGGAGATGCTGGTACTTACAGGCAAGCCTGTCTCTTCCTGCACAACAGCCTGAGCACTGCTGCTGCTTTTTCTCTGGTGGGATGCCACCATATGTGGGGACAGTGCCGGGTGCCTGGAGCTGGAGGGGGTGTCTGCCCCACACGATGCTTGCCTGGAAAGGCAGCCGGCTTGGGCGTACGGGCTGCAAGTGCTGCAGGTCGTGTCATGCCAGGATGAGAGGGGAGCTCGACCTGCACCCTTGCAGGACCCATTTTGCAACGAGTGTGCCATATTACACCAGTCTAAGATGGAGTTGTTTTGGGCTATGCGAGGGATAATGCAATTTAGCAAGTGCAGATCCTGCCTCTGCTCAGCCCGTCCTGTAAGCACGCGGTGGCTCTGATCCCTCTGTTTGCTCTCATTTGTAGGTACCTCTTTGTTCACCTGCAAGCCCACGAAGCTCGTAAAGGGCACAGTTACTGCTCTCAGCAAGGCTGCGAACGTGTTAAAATCATGGCGCATATGTATCCAGGGGACACCTGGAGCTGTGACCCAAACCCCTTCCCGGAGAGGCCAGCAGCTGCCCAGCGCCCCATGTCCCAGCACCCGGCTGCGCCGTGCAGGGCGTGTGGGGCCCCACAGGTACCCGCCGCATGAAACAGCATCTGAGGTTATGCAGTGTATGTGCCGCCACATGAGGTCAATTAATTTTCACAGCGTATAAGGAAAAGCCGTAGGGAATTCCCACTCGTGAATCTGCCCAGCATCATGTAACCTGTGGAGAGGGAAGGGGTTTGCTCTGAATTTCTGCAGCTTTTTGTACTGTGCTTCAACGATAGCCTCAAAGAAATTGCCCAACTGGAAGCATGTGAATGCACATTCATTGTACCTTTTTTCCCCATTTCTTTCTTTTAAACAAGAAAAAAGGACTCTTGAGAAGGCTCAGATTGAATTAGCTTTGAATTCCAAAGTATGACATTGCTGCTGAATTTCAAACTGGGAAGTAATTCTGGTTAATAGGAATTACTGGAAAATTAGAGCCAGGTTCTCTCCTCATTTACTGTCAATTCACCCCACTCTAAATCCTGTAGAATTGTTTCAGGCTCATACAGATCTGTACTTGAGTTTATAGCCAGGCAAAATATATGAAATATTCAACTTTTAAACTTGCTTAGTGGCAGAGTGACCATCAGAGGTCCCCTCCAACCAGCACTGCCGTGATCCTTTGATATATGGTGTCTTAATAATGAATAATCCTGGTGAACCAGGATCACAGCTGGAAAAAAGAATTCTGAAAGTTTTGTGATCATATATACGAGCATTGGTACCTGGTGTCATTTTGTTGATGGAAACCAGTTAGCAAGCCAGTTTTTAAGTTTCTGTCTCTGGTGTAATTGCAGCTTGCTATCACTAGCACACCATCAGTCAAGTATATAAGGATCCAGATCCAGTCTCTCAGCAGGGCGGACATACAAAACCGCTTGACATCAGCATTCATTAAGGTATGTTATCTTTTACGGCATTTGAAATGGTGATTAAACAGGGGAAACTTTATCTCCAAGGAAGGTTACTGCAAAATCTTGCTGAGCCTTGGCGGAAGGAAATGGGAACTTCCCCTGGAAGAGGCAAGTGCATTGTTCTCCCTTACAATTAACTCCGTTAAAGTCACTGGGAGTTCGTATTCTATTCAGATGAGGATTTGAGCCCTTAGGGAAAAAGAAGGCCTTTCATCACCTCAGAAGAAGAATTAACACCACCACTCTAATGTAGAGGAAGGGGGGGGGGGGGAAGCACACCAGAAGTCATTGTTTACAAAGGATGTGGGGAAAACAAACAAGTTTGTTTTTCTGATTTTTGCTGCTGGCATTGCACTAAAAGATAAAAAATAGCTATATTTCACTACTGAAGGGGTTTGGAGCTGTCAGGTTGTCCCTGCACATGCCTTATATGTCTGTCTAGACGGTGAAGGGTGACTGAAATCATGCTTGCAAGGACACTGTCCAGGTTTGCATACCTGTGTACTACTGAATTATAATTAATGGTAACAAATGCCAAGCAAACCTGGTACAGCATCCATAAGGAGTCCGAGCAGCCAAGATTTCTTGCCGTGCACACTGGCTGCATCATCAATAATTTATTCAAAACCATTAGCAAGTAGGTGTTACCGGAGGCAGCATCCTCATCTGCGGCGAAGTGCAGAGACCTGTGTGTGTGCAGCACTCATGGGACAGGCATAGTATCCTCAAAACTCCTTTGCCTTTTCTAAAGCTTTAATGCAAAGTATTGTTTTTCAAAGGAAGTTTTATTTCCGGCACATGTACTCCTAGCTGAAGTAAAGGCTGGGGTAGGCAAATGATATAGATTAATGTCTAAAGGAGGATTCTTACCCTAAATCTTAAAAGGTGCGGGAGATTTGGCAATAAAGAAGTGAAGCAGAGGAGCCCCCACTACCAAAGCACATGTTTTGTCCTTGTTTGGCTGAATGAAATGCAGAAGTCAGAAATGTATTAGATTTATAATCCAAGCTTCCCCAGGGACTGAGTGAAGTGGGTACAGCAGTGCCCCGCTCCAACTCCCGTGGGGCCACGTGAGCCCTTGTGTTGGCTCCTCGGTGGGTCTGCAGCATGCGGACAGGGACAAGACACAGAGCAGGGCTGTTTCTTTTACCAGCGGCTCACATTTAGGTTGATTTGCAGTGGTGGTTGCTCTCTACTCCATGTGCATCCAGACTTTGACACACTTCCCAGGCTTAGGAGTGTGAGAGACCCAGGACCAGGCAAAAGATTTCGTCTGTGTTTGCTCCTCCTCACTCCCCTCTGCCCACCCATGGCCCAGACATTCATGTTTCCCTTACCCTTGACCCCTATTGCATTCAGCATCCTCTGATATCTTGCAGAAGCCACGTTTTAACACTTGGCTCCCTCATTCAGTCTGGCCCTATATTCCCTGGAGGTGTACACATGTCTCTGATGGCGTGTATCTGAACTCCCTGGTGCCCGTGGGCTTTGGACGACTATGTGGATTACAGTGGTGTGTTGTGTATCCTGGGCTCAGCTTTCTGACAGCCTGACCCTGGTATGCTGTTGCTCTCCCTGGTGGATGTTGTTGTCCTCCCAGGCTGAGCTGTCCCTCAGGATGGTGGGGAGATGCACCAGTGCTGGGCACCTCAGAGAGCCTTTGCCTTTCTAAAAGCAAATGTCGTGGCACATCCTGAGGAGTGTAACCTGAAGAAGGAGCCCGCACCATAGGAAAGGAGAGTAGGAGTCACTTGTGCTACAACATCGCTGAGGCACTGGGACAGCCCTACCAAGAAGGATTATTTTGGTTTTGATATTTACATTTCCAGGGAAAACAAAAAAGTCCATGTGTCGCTTCTATTCCCCCATCTGCTGTTTCAGCACCTCTCCCTTGCTCCGTGGTCAAATCTGCTTTGCCAAGTGACAGGAATTTCCCCCACATGGAAAAAACCTGTATTAAGTCTGAACTAAGCATTTTACTCCCAGGATTCTAGGCTTCCCAAATGTATTTTCCTAACACACAAAAGATGCCAATGACCTCATTTCTCATGTTTCTGTACCCCATTGAGAACTAAGGGTTTTGCTTCCTCCTGCCACTGACCATCTATCAGTGATGTCACTTTATCTGTACTAATTATACATTTAAAATTATAGGGTGTACACCCTTGATATTTTCCTTGCTTGTAACTCCTTTATGAAGAAGCAGGATCAGAATCTGAAGCTCCCCAGCCTGTCTCCATAAAACCAACCTCTGTTTTTTGTTGCAGATAAATGACACAGTTTTCCTATTCAATAGCCGTGGGATATTCTTTGTGGTGCTAGATGCATGTTCAGGAGCAGTCGTGAGTAGGCGGCACTTTGACACAGTTACTGGTGAAAATGCCGCCAGTGCAATAACTGATTATGTTCAAACATTTATAAAAGAGAGGTAAGCAAACTGCTGAGAGCCCAGTTCATGTAGCAACCCGTGGCTAATAGACAAAGAAAGGAGAATGACCTACTTTCATAACCAAACCTGTGCTCTGAAGAAATCTGGCACAGATTAAATATGTACAAATCCAAAATATCACCCAGATAATAAGAGAAGTGGCATCTCTCTCTCCCAGGATTGCACAGATAAGAGCAGACAGAAACAGGTTTTCTGGAAAACTGGCAATTTCTTCTAAATTAACCATTCATTTTCTAGCACGGAGTAGATAAGATCCTTGTAATGACATTTACAATCCTGTGCACCTATCCCGGTGTCCAGCAATTTCCTGGCAGCCAGTGATTCAGTTTTCCATTTCTGAAGCGTGTTGGTTTCTGTTTACTCTTACTGATTGTTTTTGCCTCTTGTGACAGATGAAAATCTTAGTTGTGCCAGATTTTCCAGTAGAACTTTTCTTGGGTGAGCCAGTGAATAGACCTGCCTGCCTGTGGGCTCTGTTACCTTGCATGCGTCCTGGCAATGGTCTGGATCATCTCTGTTTGTGTCTGTCCCACATTCCTTGTGGTTTTATGTGTCGCCACATAAACATGGAACAACAGAGATTTATAGATAAATTCTTGGCTGCTGGCAGAAGCAGGTCAAATAACCAGAAAACAGACTTTCAGTCCAAGACATTTCTGAGCAGTTCATGACCAGAGATTTGAACGCTCCTGAATTACTACATCTGTATTTATGCACATGAGTATGTACATGTATCAAATGTGCATGAAGTAACATATATCCATACAATGCCCGTACATTCAGTTTGATTTTCTGGTACGATGTGTATTTTGCAAGTCTAGGCATTCAGCTAAATGCAAGCAGTTGTGCCTGTAATTCACTGCAGGTACAATTCACTGGGGGCTGAAAGCACATCTATGAAGACCAAAGCTGGACTGAAGCTTGATTGTAAATCAGACCCAGGATATAGATGGTTTCAGAGTCTCAGGACTGCAAAGGAACTGAATATCTTCTGCAGCTGAGTGTCCCTCTCCCATAAGGGATGCACTCGCAAACAGTCGTTTGTGCTTGTTTAGATTCCATGTGAAGCACAGGTTTAATTTAGGAACATTTAAACAGAAGCTTAAACTTAGGAAAGCTTATGTGTGATTGAAATCAAAGGGATTTAAACATGTTCCTAAAGTTAAGCAAGCTCTTAAGTACTTTCCTGAATCGGACCTTAAATGTCTTGCAGATTCCTAATGAAGTAATATTTTGCAATCATGCAGTAATTACTGTCCTTCTTTTCAGATCACTTGTTCTCGTGTGCTCTAGAGATATTGCAGAGGTGGTGGGGAGCTCTGAAATGCCTGTTTTCACCAGGTTAGGTTCAGCAAAGCCTATTGTCTTCCACAAGGAAGGTAAATGTATTTATTCTACCATGTTTCTTTTGCTTAAGAATTACTGGTGTGTTTCTCTACCAAAAATGTGCACTAACTTATATAATGCTCATCAGTATATTTCCTACCACAATATGCCAGTGTAGCCTAGTAAAAACCTCTTGGCTTAGGGATGGTGAAGTAGAAGAGTTATTTTGGGGATTTGACCCTACTTCTCCGGGGAGGATCTGCATGCTGCAAATTTTTCATCCTAAAGGTAGCTTGTATTTCTAACAACAACAACAACAACAACAACAAAAAGAATCATTTGATAAAGATTCCATCTCTAAAATTCAACTGCTTTGCAAGGAAATACAATTATAAACTGAAAGGTTGATGAAAAAGAAAATAGCCTGACATGAAAGAGGAGCTATTTATTTTTTTGGATAGAAGGAAGGTGAAACCACCAGTTTTGGAAAGCTCTTATTACAGTGTTACCTTGGATTGCTGCAAGAAATCCATTGGTATCATTGGTCTAGGAAATCCATGCTGGGTTTCCTACTGGAAAACTGGGGGCTACTGAGTCCAGGTTTGGATAAATAATTTGAGTGATAAGGAAATTAAGAAAACAACCAGCAAGCTTGATTCAGATTACATTCACAGTCTCTCAAGGAGAGATCAGATGGAAAATTGGCGGTATTTCCAACTTCTTTTTTTTCTTGGGGGTTTGGGGATTTTTTTTCCCTACTGCTTTACTGAAATTTATATCAGTTTCTGGTTCAAGTTCAAAGCTCATTGCTATGACCGTTCCAGGGGAGGCCAGCATAGTCTTTACAGCAAAGACAGTGATTTCACTTTGGTGCTTGATTCCCAAGAGCTGTTTTTTATTTCACCCTTTTAAAAGCAGAAGTTTGAGGTTCTCTTTTTTGTTTTTGTCCTGAAACTTCATTGCTTCATTCTTTCATCAAAGCCCCGAATACTTTTGAAAGGAATTTTTTGATTAAAAAGCAATCTTTTTTGTTTGTTTTGTCAAACTTTGTTTCCTGAACCACCTGTGCTGCTCGCTTGGGCGCAGCACTTCCAGGTTGTTTTGGGAGCTTGGTTCAGCCTCCAGCCCTGACTGCTCCTGGGGCACAAAAAGCAGCAAGCAGGGCCAACCCCATCCTGGGGACACGCGAGTTGGTGGCCGTCGCCTTGCCCTGCCACTTTGGTGGGATGCTGGTGTCTGGCGGTGGGACTAAGCTGCTGTTGGCCGATCACGTGCCACCCCTGTTTTGCTTTTCCTAAGGGCAAGGGTGTTCACCCACATGTCTGCCCTGATTTCCAGTCTGGGTAATTATGTTCTGCTTCACGAGCTTTCTCCTGCTGATTCAGGTATGCACGCTATTTGACTTCACAGCTCCAAAAGTGATCACACGTAGGACTGGGCTGTGCTGGGGGGGCTGCGTTTCAGAGCAGACTGGAGCATTTCTCCCAAGTGCATATTGCTTCTGCCAGAGATAATGCAAAAACCCCCCGATCCTCTTGACCCCAGCAGGATCAGGATTTAGGGTCTCGTTGCCTGGTTTTGCAAAACCTTATTTAAATCAGAAGTGTTTACAGGAATAGTCTCAGTCCAACCAGCTGCAAATAGCCTTGGGAGTCTTTGCAATGAAAAGCATAATATAAACACAAGACATTATTATTAAAATGGAAGAATACATAATGCCTTTGTACTTTGTGACGGCAGAGGACCAGAGCAGAGTCAACATGGGGGATAGTTTAGGCATAACAGGAAGAAACTGATGTAAACTAATAAAAGAAGGATTCAAAGCGCCTAACCATTTTCACGCAGTCAAATATGAAAAAGTACCAGTCTTATTTAAAAATAAAGAGTAAAACAATATTCCTGCTAACTGACATCTGGGAACCTCTCTTAGCTTATTGAAATACCTGCAGATCTGTGATGCGGTGAGGTTACAGCTTCAGTGAGGCTCTTTCCCTCTTTCATCACCCTTTTTCTCTCCTAAATGTTCTGTTGTTTTAATCCAAGGGGAAAAAGAACGGCTAAGAAGTTTCTGTGATGTGTGGAGGGAATCCATGCTGTGTTGCTGGTAAGTCAACCGACCCATCCAGAGGATCACTCTCTTTGTGTCTGTTTTTCAGGGAGTTTTGCCATGCTTGGCTATAAAGGACAAGCCAAACCCTCCTGGATTAAAGTCCTTAATCATGCTGGTTATCAGAAAGCTGCTTCTCTACAGCATTATGTTCCCTTGAAGCTGAAGGAATATCAATGTCCAGCTAATGCCAACGTGTCGCTAAAATTCTCTTTTTCTCAGAACCACTCTTCTGAGCATATCTCTGCAGAGGCTGCGGCTCCCCAGGATTAGCATCGCTGGGGCAACACCAGCCAGGCAAAACCCACCACTGTCACCAAACCCTGCTCTTGTTTTTACAGGATTGTACCAAACCGATGGTCTTCACTTGTATATTTTATAACTAATAAATATATTCTCATCTTACCCACTGTGGCAGAGCTTTATTTTTCAAACATTGCCTCACAGGGCAGAATAGGAAAAGCCTGTGGGCTGCCCTTCGCAAGGAGAAGTGTTTCAACATATCTACAATATTATGATCAAAAGGTAACTTTTAAAGGCAAGAGCCTGCTGTCCAGTATCACAGGAACTGGAAATGAAATCTGATGTGGAAACTTTAGCAACATGCAGGGAAACAGATGAACTTCAGCAGAGGTAGGGAATTCTCCCTTCAGTCCTGTTTTCCCTCCTTTAATGTCTACTTTTAAAAAATCTGTGTCCATCTGGTGTGGTATCTTAGGTGAACTCAGTAACATCTGCTTGGTAAGCATGCAGTGATCTTATAATAATAGCTTCTAATCAAACTGAATATATAGGATGCAACAAGGAGTTATAAATGTGTTTCTGTCTGTAGCTAATGAATGGTGAAATGATGTTTGTCCAACTGATTTAATTAAAGACCTACAGGAATAAAACCCAGGATAAAGTATGTGCTGCATAGGGTAAAGGCTTGCGTTCCTTTCAGACAATGCTTGTATTGACTTTCTGCTCCCATTGAGGACTGAAATACTGCCACTATTAGTGGTTAATTCTCTTTGATTTTTTTTGTTTATGCTGCTGCTTTTTGAAGTAAAGACAAAATCAGAGCTTTGTATGCAAACTGAGAAACAACTGATGACCTCACTGACTACAGTTTAAGTACAAAGTTACCCTGAAATGATGACAGACTCATTTTGGTTGGAACATGATGTTACTTGGTGACAGCAGTGAAGGGGCAGGCGATTTCAGACTATCCATGTCTTTATCACATGGGTTACTCGAACAGGTAGGTGACGGCTTTGTCAGTAATGTCCTGTTGTTTCTTTGGAATTCTCAGAAATGGCCAAACAAGTTGCTACAGGGAAAGGTTAGTGTTTTTTTGGCCAGACTTTTGCTCCCTGGGGAGTTAGCCGCTCTGGCATCCGTGTGTCGGCCAGCTGATATTGTGCCTCTGAGTGGGGACTGAACTCCTTGGCTGGGACGCTTGCCTCCATCAGACACGTACTGCCTGGTGGTCCTTGGACGTGGGGTGAGAGGACACCTGGCAGGTTTACAGGCAGAGAAGGAGACCGTGGCTCCATCCCCACACCAGGTAGGAGAGGTGCAAGTCGGGTTTGGCCGGGGAAAGGTCCTGGCTTGCTAGGAAGTGTGAAGGAATCACTGATGCTGCTCATTAAAGGTAAGATAAAGAGCGATGCACAGGACATCACAGGCCTGAGCTGGCCCCTGCCGGGAGCGATGGAGACTGATGTCCTCAGTAGAGACATGGTATAACAGCCTGAGTGGCTGGGACTGACCCTCTAAGGAGCTCCCTGAAGTCCTTTTGAACTCCTATTAGTACCTAATTGTTATGATTTCTGAGGCCATGCAAGGGAAGAAAAGCAAGATGGTTTTGGCTTGTGAGCGTAAGCCCGGCATTGGAACAAGTACTTACAGAGCAAGCTTTTAGCTTCTTGGAGATTTATTTGATAATCTGTGACAGGTCCAGACCCTGGATCCCAATAAAACTTTGCAGAGCTCTAACCCCAGGCTGAGACTAAACAACAGGCAAAGGAAGAGCCTGGTGAAGGAAGGAGAGGAATGTGGCTAAACCTCTGAAAAATCTCTATTCCTCCTCCCGCCCCAGAAGGAGAGCAAATGGCAAATGTCCTGGAGAGGAAGGCGTGGAGCCATGGCGAGCCAGATGCAAACAGTAAAGTACCACAAAAGCAAAAAGAAAAATATTTACATCCTGATGCAGTTATTTGAGTAGTTAAAAGCAGCAGTTTGAAGAGGATTTAGGATGCTGTGATCTTCTTCAGCCACTGCACACACTTTCCTTACCTTGGGAGGGAAAAAAGGCTTCAAAACCAGGGACGTTCTGCAGAGGGTACATCCTCCACAGACCCTTGGGACATTCAAGACGATGTTTTTGAAGGCTACCGCTAACTTGGCATGCACCAGAAGTCTGTGTGTGTGAAGCTGTGGGGGTAAGTGTCGTGTGGGCGTTGCGTTTGTGGGAAGCTGTCATATTCCTCCCGGGCATTTCCTGAGCAGGAGGATCTCCACCCGCATGCTGGAGTCCACATGGACTGTGTGTGTCCACGTGGACCTGCGGCTAATCCGGGCACGTTCAGTACATCTAATGCATTCAGGATATAGGGCTGTCCTGGTTATCCCCAGAGCATTTCTGCAGTGGGAACACAGTAGCTCTGGCACTCCCTGAAAGCATTATCTTGGCTATACACTGGGTTACTGTCAGCAGGCACAGCAAAGTCAGTGCACCCTGAACCTCTGAAAAAGGGGTTCAGCTTCCCACCGCTTTGATGCTCTGAAAACTTCATGCAGTCGATAAGGGTTTAATTCAGTGAAATTCTGAGCACTTTGAAAGCATGTGAAACTGAGAGTCCGTCAGCCTCGGATGGGTGGAGTGTTATGAATTGCAAATGATTTTGTTTTAGCTGAGCCAAAAATTGCTTCCTTTCCTTTTCAAGGTCTGTAAGCCTTTGCAAAAAAAAAAAAAAAACCCCAAAAAACCCCAGCTAATTCTGAAAAAAAGCATAGCTTTAGAAGAACTCTTTTTCCCCCTTTTATTTCTGTCTCAAAATAGTTTACCAATATTACAACAAATTTGCAAGCAACACCTTCATTTCCTTTAATTTATTCATTGTAAAATTTTCCTCTGACTCGTGCTCCTTGTTCAGAATCTGGTTTTATGAACATCGGGAATCAAGGAACTTGCAGTGATGTTTATAGATGGAATACATGAGCAGAACCTTCTTCCTTGTAGGGAAAGATATGAGATAAATTTATAAGAAACTAAGGTTCCTTAGGAAAAAGTCAGATTGCTGCTTTTGACTCCAGTATTGATTTCACTGAGAAGTAAAGTCTGTTCCTGAGTTTGATCCTCCTCTACTTGCTAGTAAAAAGAGCAGCTAATGGCTGGGTGGCAAGCACAAGATCAAGACGAAGAGCAGAGGCAGCTATGCTGCTGTCATGCGCTGGGACTGAGAAAGCTTTTTCATTAGCAATCCCTAGAAATGTGTTTGTTTATTTGTAAGGCCGTCTGAAGGCTTTCGCTGTGCTTGTGGCTGGGTGTGCGAAGGCTCCCCCTGCACAGGAATGTCACTGTAGCAAGAGCTGGCATGTCTCGGGTCAGAAAGGCAAATGTGTTCCTCAAATCCATCTTTCCAGCTGGGGCTAAAATGCAAAATTCTCGGAGTGGGGTGAGAGGACAGTCGCTGCCAGGCAATGTCAGCAAGAAGATGGCAGAGGCGCTAATTAAACAGCTCCTCCCTCTCTCAGGAATCAGCTTCCAAATCTGTCCTGGCTTCTTTGCATATGAATGAGGAAACCTGCAGCAAGGCTTCAGACGTAACCATCAAACCACTAAAACCTCAGCATCAGCTGTGGCAACGGGACAGTCCAGGTTTGGCCACGCAGAGCACGAGGCGTGAACTACAGCCCTGGCACTGACGCCTTGGGGTCTCCTGGAGCATCTCGCCTTGCAAAGAGGGTCCCTGGCGAACACAGATTTTACTCACAGGTCATTTCAAGTACCTGTGCAAATTAGTACCTGTGAACTGATGCTGAGAGTTTACTCCCCATCAGGCTAAAAGGCACCTTTTCCATGTGAGCTTTGCCTGTTCTTCTCTGGGGATGGCTCCGGATCCCCGCTTTGCCCCTGTGCAGGTCTGTGGTCTCTCTTGCTGGGCAGTAGTAACCATCAGGTTTCTTGCTCCTGTTTGATATCTTTTTCAGGGGAGATCAGGTAGCTGCTGCTTTTCTCCCATCCTTGCTGTGGTTGTAATGGATGGTTGATGCTCCCATTATGCCCCACTTGACATACCAGAAAGGAGCCTCATCTTCAGCAGATGCTGAAGGTACATCCTCCAAAGTGTGTCAAGCCAGTCTTAAAAAGCACTTTAAAATACCCAATATCAGGAGTTAGTTACTTTTTGAAAATATTGGCGCCAGGCTTGGGTGGTTGGCCCAGAGTTGTGCACGGTGGCAAGTCAAGGTCGGAGTCTGGTGTGCGTTTCTGATCGGTGGGCTGTGCTGCCCTGGATCGCTCTGCTCTGCCCCTCAGATTCAGGGTGTCCGTGTGACCCCACCACGATGCCTGTGACAATCCGGCTTCCTCTGAGAATTTCTTCGCCGTTTTGCTCTCGGGATTGTCTGCTCTGTGCTGCCTCCAGCATTAAAACCGCGGGGAGGGCGGTGGATATGGATTCCTGTCTATGCAGTGCACTTTCTAGTACAGTATCACTGCCGACACCTGCAGTAGCAGCCAGCCGAGCACTAATGGTTTCCTGCATCTACTTTTAGCATTGTCTGCTGCTATTGTTCACTTTTTGGAAAGATTCAGCAGCTGGGAAACATTTCAGAAAGTCTGCCTTGCCAGATCCAGGGATATGAGTCCCACTTGCCATTGGCAGGCAGCTTTTAATGGCTAGATGAAAAAGCTTTTCTCACCCAAGAGAGGAGTCACAGATGGTATTTGAGAAACGTTGGAGATGATAGCCTTAGGAGGACACTTGTATGGCCCTTATGCTCTCAGAGTGCCCAAATCTGCAGGGAGATTTCTTGACATTGCTGGTTACATCAGAGCTGAAGTCAGCCACATGGCGCCTGTTCAAGTGAGATGTGGTGTATTGCTGTATCCCCACGCGGCTCTGAGCGCTGAGCTAACGAAACGGCTGGCTGGCAGGAGATAACTGCTCCTGAGTCCTCTCCAGCAGGAGACATTAATGAAAAGAGTCGTTATCTCTTCCTCCTCTTTTATTTAACAGTAAAATCAAACATGTCACTGTTTGTGTCTAATATTTGGGAAAGAT